TCAGCTCCTTCTGTGGGGGTAGACTGGGTGTTTCTTTCATATTTGGACTGGCTGCTCCTGACTACATGGCAGGGCTCAGAAGCACTGTGTGATCTCAGCTGAGGACTGGTTTTGAGAAGGCATTTGAAAAGGAAGAGATGTGAGTGAGTTGCAGTGACTGTATTTGAGGGAAAGAAGGTCAGATGAGACAATTCCTCTTCTCCAGGGATTAGAAAGAAGTTATCCAAAGCAGAAATCATTGCTTCTCTTTGCTTGTGTTTCTGAGGAGCCAGGCTGCCCTGCTACCCTGGAGTTTCTGGCTGGCTGAGCTAAGCTGTGAGTGCTGTCCCAGCAGCCTGATAGTGAGTGGGTGTCAGGGGCCCTTCCAGGCCCTCTTGCAGAGGAGCACATGTCTGCAGTACCAGCAGGGGAAGCTCAGTGTAAATGCCTGCTCTCTCAGGCTCTCGTTGTATCGGTCACATGCTGACTTTCCAATTGGCCCAAGCAATTTGCAGGGAGAGAATGGGCAGCAAGGGAATTATAACAGAGATGGGGCTGCCCAGCAGTGCTGTTGATAGGATTTTCTCTTCTTATTATGTATGTCACATGAGCTATGCTGGAACAGTCACTGTTTCTCTATCAAACAGCGTCTCTTCAATTTCCTTTTTCCTTCTTTTCTCTTCTATGGCAGTCAAAACCTGCATATGCCAAAACATGTATCCTAGGTATTTCATTGCTCAGATGAGTCTAAAGGATACGTATGTAAAAGAGAACAAATAGCTGTTACCCTCAGCCACCTTTTACCAGTCCTTTTTGATTATTCCTGAATGTTCAAAGTGTTTGCATGACAGCAGCTGGCCCAGTTCTGGGACAGTTTGTAGGCTTTAAGATAATGGTGGGCAATTCTCACCTTTGGTTGCTTATAGCTTTAGTGAAGGGCTCCTTCACTCAAGGGGATCTGTTTTCCAAGTGCCCGTCCCATCCTCCTGGTATAAAACCACACAGTCAGAGCTTGGAGAGTCCTTGTGTGTGCTGCAGCTTTGCAGCTGTGCCATAGGGTGTTTGTGCCTTGTGTGGTGGGACTCAGCTTAGTTTGGCCTGTGCTAAGGCAAACATTGTGCAGGGGCCAAGCCAGAGATGATCCCCACTGGAGGAGCCCACAGGCTCGGCACTCACACACCAGGAGGAGGAATGCCCTGTGGTTCCTGCTAGAAGTGATTGGTGACTGGCTAGGGACAAGGCTTGGTGCCCTTTGTTTTGTCAGTCATACTATTCTGGGAACAATTCTCATTATTGTTTGTGGATTGTCCTTGTCTTCTGCTTTTATCTATGTACACTGGACTGTGTTTGAATCTGTTGGTGGATGGCCCTGCTCTGGAGCACCATTCAAGATGTGCCTGGCTTTGGGTCCACATCTTCCTCCAAGCAAGCTCCAGGCTCAGATTTCATTCTGCTCCTGCCCTCCTATTCTCTTTTAGCATCTTCCTTGGCAGATGCTCCTTCCCTGCCTGGCGCTGGCAGTACCTGCAGTGTCTGTCTTGGACACCACGCAGTTAGGGTGTCATAAGCAAGCAGGAACGGATGGGGTTTTTCCAGCTCAGCCTTGTCTCCCTCGATGTAATGAGGGGAGATCCCCAGCAGATGGCACTTGAAGCTTTTCCCTGGCTGGCTTTTCCCTCCAGCCTCGCGATGTTCAGACCCGTGTGTGCACCGATGCAGCGTGAGCCTGTTACGGCACATCGTGTGGAAAGAGGAGACCAAAAAGCGGTTCACTGTGTAACAAGGGGCGAGCAAATCCCCAGGTGACTTCAAAGGGTGAAAAAAGCATCTCTTTCCTTTTGAGAAGGCTTGGCCAGGCCTGCCTAATGAGGCTTTCTGCACCCACACACATTCCTGTTCTTGCACCTGGCGGTGTCAGTGGTACACCTTGGGCAGGATAAACTGCAGAAGGCATTAGCTTGTCCTCTGAGCACAACAGGAAACACAGCCCAGAGGGAATCTGTGCATTAAACTAATCCTCACTGCATTGTCTTCACCCCTACTGCCTGTCTCCTCATTGCACTGTTTGGTCAGGATTCCCACAGAGGAATGTCTCCAGGGGAATGTAAGATGAGGCACAGCTGACATCCAGTGATGTCTTCCCCATGGCAGCAGTGGGCAGGAACACGTGGAAGTGAACCCGCACCCTGCCTCAGCTCACAGTCCCCTGCCCTCTCCCTGTCACTGCAGTGCCATGTGTTCCTGCAGGGAAAACTTGCCACTTGCCTCCTTTCTGCTCCTGGTCTGGCCAGGAGGAACTTAAAGAGCTCTCCAAGAAATGCTGGAGCAGGCATGTGGGTCTACCCTCAATGTTGTGTGATGCATTTTTCATGCTTTTATCATGTGACCAGAGGAAACTTGGACTAGGTTTGAGATTTGAGATTTGGTTTGAACCCAGTAGGCAGATCAAAACTCCAGGGATGAGAAGCCCACAGGAACCAAGAACAGAGCAGAGTGATCACATGGGATGCTTGGGAACAGAAACCACTGAATTTTGCATAGCTCTAGCAGTGTGATCTAGTAACAGGCTAGATTACAGTCTGGGCACATACAGCTAGGGGCCAGGGGGTACCACTTCTATTCTTGGTTCTTCCACAGCTTTTCTCAGTGACCTTCAGAAAGTCAAGTAACCTTCTCTGACTTGGGTTTTTCTTTGGGAATAACACTATGAATTATCCCTGGAAAATATTTTGCTATCCTCAGATAGAAGTTACTTGGTAGTATTCTGCAACCTGTATGTGGAGGAGCAATGTCTCCAGCCCTCTCAGGAAGTTTTCTTTCCACTATGTGATGCAGCAGTGTGACTTGTCATCTACTGGGAACCCATCCAGCACATTGAGCCTCATCCTCAGGGCACAGATCACCTAAGGGTTGCAGCAGTAGGTTGTAGCTCTGCTTTCTGTGAGGGTTTCTTTTCCTCTGGGGGCCTGCTAAATTGCTTGTTTCTGTCTGCAGCAGTGTGTCACTGTGTCTCACTCAGAGGAGATGCTGGATGCCGTGGATTGATGATTCTGGTCATATGAAATACAAAGCAAGAAAGAAACAGCTGCTCTGCAGGTATTTGCTGAAACACGTATAGGTAAAGGTTGCAGAAGCAGCATTTGTAGAATTAGTTTATCTCAAATTGCAAGTGCCCCAAAAAAGAACTTGTTCATCAGCACCTGATTTTGCTGCTTGCCCTGAAAGGCCTGGCCCTGCAGCAGGTTAGGATGCCTAGCACAATCCCTTCCCAGGCTGGGCTCCCCACTGCTGTCCTGTGGTGTAGTGGGGTGGGGTGAGCTCAGATAGAGCCTGTGATGTTACAGTTGGGATGGCAGCTTCTGCTTTTCCCTGGTTCAGGAAGCTTTTTCAGCTTCATCTCTTCTGAAACAAACAACTGGGCCCTGGCATGTGCCTGCCCCCATGCTTGATCTCTGAATGGGAAAGCAATCATACACAGTAGTTTAAGCTGACTGTGGTTTATGGGTTATATCTTACAGACCATTACAAGGACAGCCACTGTCTCCAGAGTTGAAATAAGGAATGAATAAAGGCTTGGGGAATTTCGCTTTATATGGAAAAAAAAAGGAAAGAATTATTAGAGAGTCTCAGTTGTTGGGCTTTAGAATATATTTTGGTTATGTCCCAGGAATAATTCTTATCTAGCAAAATATAATATTGCATATCTCTATGAAGGATTTCTGGTTTCAGTTAGCATTTTACTCCCTCCTGCTGGATGCAGGATGCCAGACTAGCAATCTGCTTGTGTGCACTATTCCCTGCGTTTTTTTAATTCAAACAATAAAAAAAGCAGAAGTACCTATAGCAATATGTGGTGGCTTAGAGTCATAAGGTTGGATTGTGATTTCAATTTGGTGTGAACTTGGGGAAAAATAGGTGAAAACAAATCCACGGTGTGAATGCAAGATGCACTGATCAAGTATGGTTTAACAGCTGAGACAGTTTCCTACTGCAGACCTCTTCTAAGAAGGCACTATCTGAAAAGCAAAAATTTTGCTTTGTGGCTCAGACTCTCTGCTTGTTGTACTCCTTCAAGAAAAAATACTTTGCTTAGTGGAGCTGAACCGAGGCCCTTTCCCCCGCAGCAAAGATGTGCTCTCTCTTTTCCACAGTCAGCACTTTAGGAGCGCTCTTATCTTGTTACAGGCCTGCTGGCTGAGAACTGGGAACCCACAGTTAACCAGCCCGTGCTCCTCTGGAATTTGTACACAAGCAGAGACTCTGCAATGCTTCCTGGCTTGTCCCAGGAGGAAGGTTGGGACAAAAGGCTCTGCTGGCCCCCAGGGACCGGTAATGGGCAACAGGGACCTTTCACCCAGACACGGGGAGTTCATCGCTGGCACGGAGCTGGCAGTGGGTGAAAGCCCTTTGCTGTTACTGCTGCCAAACGTGTCGGCGGCTTCCTGTGGGTTCAAAGGGGCCGGGAGCCTATCAGTCAGCCTCTGATAACTTTCCTGACTGTTTTGCCAGGGAGCTGCTGGTGGACTGCCCATGGAAACGGGGCACCTTGCTTGTGCCCGAGGATGGCTGGTGCAGCAGGAGCTGGTGCCGGCCTGGCCCCGCGCCTGCGTTTCTGTGGGGAAAGACTGTGGCGACTTCACTGCTGCTGCAGGCGCCGTGCGAGTTCCCGGGGTGGCTCAAGGGACTCGAGACAGGACCCTCGAGCCCTCCCTATGGATCTGTGCTCTGGATCGGAGGGCAGGACAGACAGGTCACGGCATCCCTTTGTGGGATCCCTGGACTGAGCGGGCTGCAAGCAAGGATGCGGTAGCGCAGAGTCAGCGACCAGTTCCCCATATCCCGAGCAGCTCGGGGGACTCAAGGAACGCCGGCGGCCGGGAAGGGCCGGTGACCCTTTAAGCGGAGTCCCCGCCCCGTGCCGCCCCGTCCCGCCCCGTCGGGCCAATGTGCGCCGCGGCTGCCGCGCCGCTCGGTACGAGTTTCCCGTGGCGGCGGTGCCGGAGGGAGCCCGGGGTGGCGGCGGCGGCGGCCCGCGGCAGCAGCGGGGCGCGATGCCCGATGCCCGCCCGGGGCTGACCGGGCGGCAGCGCTGCCGTGAGCGGAGCCCGGCGCCTCGCCCAGGGAGCTCTGCCGTCCCGCAGTGAGCGCTCTGCGCCGAGTGTCTCTCGTCCCCTGCAGCACGCTGCCAGCTGGTACCTCCCTCCTTTCTGAAGCGTAACTGAGGAGGGGGTGGAAGGCAGAGGAAGTTTGGTGCTCAGTTTTTTTTCTGTAGGCTCTGGAGCGGGATTCCCTTTGCGTGGCAGCGCGGAGGGCTGCAGGACAGGAGGGGAAGGGGCGCAGCCGGGAGCCGGGGCTGTGCGGAGCCGTGCCCCGCCGCCGCCGCCGTGTACCTGCGGCGCTGGATGCGAGCTCCGCGCAGCTCCGCCGAGCGTAGCGGCAGCGGCGCGGCAGATGCAGATGCGTGCGTGTGTGTATGCTTAACCCTTTCTTGGCTCCTCGGATTTGTACCATGCTGAAGATCCTCACCAAAAAGCTCAGGAACCAGAGTTTGAATGAAATTCAACCTTTCCAGCTAAAGGTAAGGAAAGCCGGTTTTGTCTCGGTTGTTTTTTGTCCCCTTCAGGTAACTACTAAGAGGGCCTTGAGAAGCTGGAAACTTGCAGTGTTTATTATGCTGGGTCAGTTTCCTCTCAGCCAGTGTGCTCAGGAGGAACTGGCCTAGGCTGTATTCCTGTTACTTAAAGTCCCGTTCCTATGCCCTCAGAGTTACCCTGCACAATTCAGATAATACAGAAAGGTGTATGGAGACAGATGTATCTGTCTGTTCTTTAGAATGTTTTCCTTTTGATGGGATTTACATTTAACTGTGTAGGCATTTGCCTAGATACCTTTGTACATGGGCAATCTGTAGCCTCTCAGCCCTTTCCAGGCTAGAATCCCACCGTGCTAGGTACTATACAGACATGATTTACCTAAAATGCCTTTCAGCTCGTTATTTGCATTTCTCCTTCTTCTGGTCCTCAAGGCCAGAATCTGAGCTGAAGTTTGCAGGCTGGATCATTGCTTTGACCCGTAGCTTTCCAGATTCTTCTTACATCCGTTTTTAATGTTTAAAATAAAACTGAGGACCACAGATTCAGGATGAGAACTGTCTAAGCCCTTCCTGCCAAATATAAAGAGGAATTTTTGAGCCATTTACCGCAGGATAAAAATGGAGCCATGACGAATGCGAAAAAAATACCAAATCCTGATTTGGCAAAATTGTTGTGAACCAAGGGATATCCCCTGAAATCAGCAGAGTTGCTCTGGATTGGCACCAATGCTGTGGGAAGTGCAGCACCTGGCCCCAAATAAAAGAAGGGATCTGGGAAAAGTAGCAGCCCTCGTTGCCTGAGTTGGGGGCTGGGGATCCGTATACCAGACTCTAGTGGAGTCTTTTGTATGTGTTACACAGAGGCTCATTGCCGTGTGGCTGCACTTCTGCGCAGTCACTCTGGACAGGCTGATGGCAACTTTGATGAAACATCAGCACTGTTTCTAACAAAGTTTGCTGTACTTCTTCCTCCGGGGATTGCACGTTTTGTAGCTCTCAGGGGAGGCAGGGTTAGGTTTTATTGTTGGAAGTAAAGTAAGGGCAATGCTTTAGGTTGTACTGGATCAATTCAGCGCAGAGTATTTGCAGAGGCAGTGAGGGTTTTTTTAACACTGTGTTTCTGGGCCTTACAGCTGCAATCTCTTCCTTTAGCTTTATTGTTTGTCTCTTGGAGCCTCAGGTTGTGAAACCATGAGAATCTTTGGAAGGAGCTCTCAGAGGTGGATACAGCCTTCAGGATGCTTGGAGGCATGCAGGAAAATGTGCATGAGTGGGCATCTGCAGCCATTTTGTTCATGTTAGTGCCAAGGTTTTGTGCTGCAGACAGGTGGTCTGCATTTTTGCAGGCTCAGTAGAGACAGTTCAGCTTGCACTGTGCCTTGCTTGCAAGGCTGTTGCATAGCTCATCAGAGCTGTCTCTGCAGCCTGCAGTGGGGCGTGCTACAATGACTGGTACACATGTGTATGGGCAGAAAGCCAGACGTGCAAACTCTGTCTTTAAATCTGTTTTGTGGGCCTTTGGGGACCGTGTGCAGCTGCCTGGTCTTGGTTGAGCCTTGCAGCAGCATACTAATTGCTTAATGGAGTGTGCAGTGCTCTGTCTTAGGTGTTGGACCAGAGCTCCTTGCAGGTATGAACCCTGGATAGGTGTCACAGGGGTGAGCAGTGTGGAAGCTTCTGGTGGCTGTGCTGTGCATGGACCCTGTGTCAAGGCCAAATGTCCTGTACCATTTTGCTCTACTGCCCTCGTGATGTGGGGCTGCCAGGCACTGACCAGACTCAGCCTTCTTGGCCTTGGTCTGTGTCTGTGCAGGTCTGTACATATTCTGGCTTGTATGGTAAATGCATTATTTAAAAGGTCCAGTGTGCTGTCATTGAAACCTACTGAAAAGTTAGGTGAGAGCACAGACCCAGGTCTGTAGGTTGGATAGAGTAAGAATTAATCTACATTGACCACCCAAACCAAGTGCTTTCTGAGCTTTAATAACAGTGTGCTTAGCTGCTCATCTCCTTCATTGCCCACTCACTTTAGCACTTTATGACTTTTTTGGGAAGTTCCCAAATTGAAGGAAAAGCAAGCTGCTGGTGTGCTTCTAGATTACAACTGTACTGAAATTAGCTGAAGTCCCAGGAGCCTTCCTTGGGTAAATTGTCAACTCATTTTTACAAGTGTGGAAGACTTGACCAATCTTGGATTGGCATCCAAGCTTTGGGAATCTTTTTAGGAAGAAATTTCTGCCCACTATGAAGGTTTTATTTTTGTATGGTGTGTCTTCAATTGGTTTAGTGTGGCTGTAATAGGGCCTCCTAGTTTTCCCCTGCTTGGAGAAGCTGAGGGGATGCCATGGCCTTCTGTAAGTGAAACCGAAAAATAAGCAATCTCTGGGTGTTGATGTAATGAACTTCTCTTTTTCCATTCTAAAGCTGGCCTTTAGGCAGTTGGCAGCTAGGGCTCCTCAGAGGATTTTGACTCGAGATGTGCTGGTGTCTCTCAGAAAGTGTCTCTCCATTTCCCTTTCACCAGAAGTCACCATGGTGGGAAGGGAGGGACTGACTGACACTTCACCTGATGTTGGGTTAGCCTGCTCAGCCAGCAGTTTCTGATAAGGGTGGCTGGGCTGTCAAGTGTGATAGTTAGGGTTCAAATTTGAGTGCCTTGCCTTGGAAGACAGCTGACTTTGCTTCACAGAATTCCAGAATGGGTAAGGTTGGAAGGGATCATCTGTTCCAGGCACCCTGATCAAGCAGGGTAATGCTAGAGCAAGGGGCACAGGATTGTGTCCAGGGAGCTCTTGAATAACTCCAGTGAGGAAGACTCCACAACCTCTCTGGACTTGGTCGCCCATACAGTAAATAAGTTCTTCCTTATGTTCCGGTGGAACTTCCTGTGCATCCATCTGCTCCTGCCTGTTGCCGCTTGTCCTATTGCTCAGCACCTCTGAGAGCCTGGTTCCATCTTCTTGACACCCCCTCTTTAGGTGTTTATATACATTGGTGAGATTCTCTGTGTTGCCTCTGTTTGAAACTGAGCAGGCCCAGCTCCCTCAGCCTTCCCTGTAAGAGAGATGTTCCAGTCCCTTAATCATCTTTGTTACCCTCCACTGGACCCACTCAGGAGATCTACGTCTCTCTTGTACTGAGGAGCCCAGAACTGGACACAGCACTCCAGATGTGCCTCGCCAGGGCTGAGCAGAGGGACAGGATCACCCTGAGCTGCTGGCAGTGCTCTTCCTAATGCACCCCAGGATACCAGTGGCCTCCTTGGCCACAGGACACACTGCTGGCTCATGGATGGCTTGCTGTCCACCGAGACCCTCAGGTCCTTCTCCACAGAGCTCCTTTCCAGCACCTGAGCCTGTGCTGTTCCATGTGGTTATTCTTCCCCAGGTGCAGGACTCTGCACTTAGCTTTGTTGAATTTCAGAAGATTCCTCTGTGCCCATCTCTCCAACCTGTCCTTCTGAAGGGCTGCACAGCCCTCTGGGGTATCAGCCACTCCTCCCAAATTTGTGGCATCAGTGAACTTGATGTGGAGGCATCTGCCCCTTCATCCAAGTCATTGATGAATGAGTTAAACAATATTGGGCCCAGTATTGAACCTTGGGGGACACCACTAATGACAGGCCTTCATCCAGACTGCCACTGATTATGACCATCAGCCAGTTCTCAATCCACCTCACTGTCCACTCATCCAGTCCATGCTTCGTGAGTTTGCCTATGAGGATGTTGTGAGAGACAGTGTTGAAAGTCTTGCTGAAGTCAATGCAGACAATATCCACTGCTGTCCCTTTGTCCAGCCAGGCAGTTGTTTCATTTTAGAAGGCAATTGGGTGTGTCAGGCATGACATTGGTAAATTCATGCTGACTACTCCTTGTCATCCATGTGGATAGACATGGCCTCCAGAATGAGGTATTCCATCACATTTCTAGGGATTGAGGCAGACTGGCTGGTAGTTGCCTGACTCCTAATTCTTGCCTTTTTTGAAGACTGGGATAACATTTGGTTTTTTCCAGTTCTCCACCGCCTCTCTCTGATTGCCACGACCTTCCAAAGATGATCCTGAATGCCCTAGCCATGGTATTTGTCAGCTTTCTCAACATTTGTGGAAGCATCTCATCAGAGCCTGTGGAGTTGTGCATGTCAAGTTTTCTGAGGTGTCTTTCCATTGGATATTTGTGCCCCTTTGGTAGGGGCAGCATGTCTACTCCTGAGCTCATAGCACAGCCTGTTAGCTTAAGAGCTTCAGCTCTTCAACCTTCAGCTGCTGTGACTCAATCCAGGAAAGGAGAGGGCATTGTCTGGTGCCTTGGTCTTTGGTCTACCACTTATTTCAATGATCTGGTGTTATTGGCTAGATATTAGGCCAGATTCAGGAACCTTTTGGGCTGCTTTTGAGCCAGAAGTAGGTCTGACTTCAAAGGTTAGGGATCATCTTTGATAACTGCTGGCAACTAAGTGTTCCAGAGCACTTGAGACAGAAGGAAAAAAGTGGGATCAGGGGAGTGTCCCATATGGTAGTGGAATGCTTCAAAACCAGGAAAGTGAGAGGGGCCTGTAACTCAATGCCTGATTTTAATTTTTTTTTTTGTGTTGGTTGTCCAGTATTACGGTCTAGTATAGTTTTTTATTATTTTCTTTCCTAGTTTTAGACTTGTAGCTTTGAGAAGCACTTCCCGAACTATTAAGTCAGGCTGATCAAGGAGCTTTTAAAATGCATATCTTGGGCTTGCATGTGGGTTTGTGATGGAGTAATGATATTGAGCCCTTAGAAGTGCTCTCAGACCAACTCCATGAGCTTTCTGTAAATCAAATGTCTTTATTCATCCCCACAATTTGGGGTAGGGGTTTCTCACACAAGTATGTTTCTTCCAAGTTTCTCTTTAACTCTTGGGGCCTTGCTATTTATGTAGTGGCTCAAGTGTGGGTGTCTGTTTTCTGAGCTTTACTTGCAAGCAAGCTCCTTCGGGCAGGGAGCATCTGGCTGG